ACAATTCCAAATATCCAAAATCTAGAGCACATCCACTTTATTTTACAAAGTCAATTTCAAGAATAACTATCCACCATTATAACATATGTCACTCATAAATACATCCCCACAACCATTTTCAAGAATCTAATTAGAAAACCCCTCTTTTGATTTCAAATCCAAAATCTAGGTTTTTCCCAAAATGTCCCAAATCAATACCCTTTTTAAAGAAAAATAACTAAGTTAAAAATCATATAATAGAGTCAAAGAAATCTTTACCTCAAAGTAGAAGACGAGGAAACAAGGGTAGAACTTATCAGAGTCAAAAACACAAAATGCTCCGATTAAAATAAAGCCATGGACATGCTTAACATTTTTCTCCAAACGAGTAGGGTGAGAAAACTTACGGATTGAGAGTATTTGGAATTAGAGTTCAAGAACTAGCGAGAGAATAAAGATCTAGGATTTTTGAAGTGTTTACACACACACACACACACAGAGAGATGAAAAAGTAACTGAAAATGGCTTCTTTTCAGACTGATATACGCACAGACCGCTCGAGCACAAGAATAGTCGTTCGAGCGACAGACACAATAAGTGACACCACTCAAGTGACCAAAACCAGCACCCAATCGTACAATGACCCCTTCTTAGTAGTTTAGACTTGCAAAAGATCGCTTGCGTGCAAGAAAGACCGCTCGAGTACAGGAATGGTTGCTCGAGCGAACAAGCAAAATTCTAGGCAACAACTATTTGAGAAACTAACCTCCCAACCTATTTCAAATACAACCAAAACTCCCAATACCCAAACTCAACAAACAACAAGATGGAAATGAACTGAACAACAGTAAAATACATAGGTTCTTGGATCCAAAAGTAATAAATGGATCGAGTATAAACTAGAATTGCTACAGGCAACATCGCATAGGAGAGCGAGAGGACATAAGGTTTGGTTTTTGATTCACGTGTATATGATATATATATATATACATATATACTTAGATAGTGTGGTCCTTTTATACAAGGTTGTCCTAATGGACAAAGAAAATCAATGCCTGAACCTCTATCCAACGAAAATTTAATTTTGAATTTTTGGCCCGAACATCTTAAGAAATTTATAATTTAAATTAACAAAATTAAAAACTCTAACTTTGGAGAGTTTATATATATATATATATATATGGGTTCGTTTGGAAGTGGGTTGACTTTTTGACTTTTTTACTATTTTAGTCTGGGGTTAAAAAGTCTAGTTTGAGAAAAACTTTTTACCTTTTTTAACTTTTTGTGAGTGAAAGAATATAATGATTATGAGTTGAATGTGATATTTTGTTATATTAAACTAAAAATCCTATTTTGTCTCTTTTTTTTCTAACATAACTCCAAACTCAACCCAATCCGTCGTCAAAAAACCAATCATTTCATCGGAAAGCATAAAGTGAATAGTGTGGATGCCATTGAGAGCTAATAATGGAAATTACAATCGAGTTAGATAACCATGTCTTGGCCGACCTTTGCTTTTTCACATTTAAAAATTTCAATCTACAGCAAAACCTTCACATGCGTTTCCACATCTCTATCATTTGGAAAATATCAGCGCAGCACGCTCTAGCCTCTTCTATTGTTACCCATTCACACAATATGTCAAAAAAAAATTTCTATGTCTCTCCAATGAGTAATATTAATTTACGGTAAGGATTATAATAAAGTTTAGTTAATGGAAAATAAGATTTGTTTACTTGGATCTTTTGTAACTTTTTATTGACTTTTAATACTTCTTTTAATAATGTCACTATTACAATATTTTTTCTATCTGTACATTGTTCTCATATCATAGACTAATCATAATACATCATGCTCATTACTTTTCATCACTTGACACGAAATTATGAACCTTGATTACTTCATCAATTATAGAAATTATGAAACACTATCTGACCAAGTGCATGGAATGACAATGTGAACTACACCTTTGGGAGTTCAGTTTTCTAGTGTGTGGCTAAGGAAAAAAAGAAAAAGAAAAATGAAGAAGAGGAGCTTTCACTCATGACAGAGGATAGGAGTCCATTTTGATTGGTGTAGAATGATAAATTTTGAGTGGAGTCATTACATTCAGCCGTAACACATATTCAAATTTTTTATTCCACCCAAAAAACATTAATTAATGATTCAAATTTATTGTATATGTGGAGCTAACACTACGTCACTTTAATCTTTACCACACAATTTTATTATGAATAAAAATCTAAAAAAAAATTCTGAATTAATAAAAGTTTTGTATTACATTTTTTCAAAATAAATCCACATACTTGAATTGATCTTATTTTGTGTATAATTCACACATTAAAATGTGTAAACAGATTAGTTTCTAGAAGAGTGTTAAGAGTTTGATGGTAGACCATAATTTTTTTTAGAAGTCGAAGAGTGAATACAAGTTTACAACTGGCTTGTCCACATTTCGGTACACTTACATTTCAGTACGCTGTCAGTGGACCTACTTATTCGACCTTTCCCATTGGATTGATTTTAGCATTTTTCTTAAAATACTGAGTTGGGGGAGTTCTCACCGAATATTATATATAAGAATTCACATTCTGATAAATTACGCTTTAAACTCTTACACTTTGTATTAAATTTCATTTTAATCCTTATATATAAAGTTATGACTGTTAATCCTTTATACTTCTGATCAAATTTTACTTTGATCTTTACATATGAAATCTTGATAGTCAACCCCTTTCTCTTTTGATCAAATCTCACTTTGGTCCGTACACAAGTGTTAATGTCTTCATTCTATTATTTCATTGTTTGCATCTTTAACAAAATCTAATTATGTGACAAGAATGTCACTATGAAATGAGAGTAAAAGAAAAAAATCATCTTCATTTTCCATCAATACACATTTTATCTCAAAATTTATATCAAATTATGATTTTATTAGGTTAAAAATAAAAACACAGATTGTTAACGATAAAGAAGATGAATTAGGATTTTACATAAATTGAAATTACAAAACTGTGTTTTCCATAATAACACAGCCTTTTGTCTAGTCCATCTTTTTCTCTTCAATTTCTCTGTTGCCTTTTTTTATTTCAAAAATATTTCCTTACCTCTTTGTCCTAATTTTCAACATACAAACATATCTATATATATATATATATATATTGTATTATATAACTCTTACGTGTTTGTCACGTAGGACAAAATATATATTGATGTGAAATGAGGGTAATTTTCCATTCTTATCTTCATTTCGTAGTTATAATCTTGTCACGTGAAATTATGTTAAACATTTAAACAATGAAGTAATAAAAGAGAGACATTGACACTTATGTAAGGATCAAAGTGGTGTTTGACATTAACATTTATGTAAGGACCAAAGTTGTATTTGTCCAAAAGTATAGGAGATTGACTGTCATGATTTCATGTGTAGGGACTAAAGTGATATATGACCAAAAACGTAGAAGATTGACTGTTATAATTTCATATGTAGAGATCAAAATGAAATTTAATGTAAAGTGTAATTTACCATTCATATTCATAAGCAATTTAGCAAGAATTTTTATTGGTTGACAGATTACCTAACTCGTAATCCTCTTCTTCATCTTGATTTGGGTCTAACTTCGCAAAATATAAAAACATGTCCAACACAAATCAAGTTATTGGTCAACCGGTTCGGCAGTTCAACCGCCGATTTTTTCGATTCTCTCAAAATAAGCCGATTTTTCACTTTAAACGGTTTAGTGGGTGTATTTGAACTGGAACCCCGACCGATCGATGGTTCAACCGGTCGAACCGGCCGATCCGGTTTTTAAAACCTTGATCTCAGGGCATCACATGAATAATAGTATAGATAGATATATTAAACTCCTTTAAAATTTTAATACACATGACACTTCATTATTTATTTATTTATTTATTTCTAGATTTGCACTTCATTCTTTTTCATTAGTAATGCATTAATTGTATGGATTAAAAAATAATGTCCCTGTACCTTTTATATAAAAATGAATATTTTACCATTATATATGTCAATGTTTATGCATCATTTATATCAATTTTGATTTATTTAACCTTATTAAATGCGAAGCCAATGTAAATCATGCCAAACGTATAGGACTTGAACCTCGTTTAAAAATATGACTTTTTGTTTAAAGAAATCAAAAAGTTAAATAAATAAATAAATAAACCCTAACAGAGCCATGACGCCATTAAAAATAGATTACATACTTTAATCACTTACATTTTTCGATACGACTAGAAAAAAATATATATTTTCAAACACAGTGAATAATTTTTTCACCTCAAAAACAATTAAAAAATCAATTCCCAAATAGGACTTTGATGTACTATTTCTAAACCTTAAAAAGATCAATATAGTTTAGCCTACATATATAGTATTAAACTTTTATTTTGGCAAATTATATTTTGTGTTAAACTTGAAAGATGCATTTCATTGTAATTGTTAATATATTAGAGAGCAATAACAGTAGAATGACCATATTTTCTTATTACATCTTTGCTTATCATCTTATTTTTGCATTGGTATAGCTATTCCTTCCGCTCATGCCTATTCCCAATGTAATTTTACCACACAATGGAAGACAAAATGCGAACATCATAATATTATTGATAAGAAAAATGAAAACATTATAAAACTTTAAAGAAGAGTTCAAACAAATAAAATTTAAAAACCTTAACCATTCTACAGTTGGATTGGATTTTGTTTTCCATCTCTTCAGACAAGAGTGGGAATCCATAGAAAGTCAGATGTACATAATCTTACATCACATGCAGAGAGATTGTTTCCATTAAACCCACTGCCGAGCCTGCCAACCACAAAACTAAACTCACAGGGTAAGGGGAGTCTCAAACCTTTTCGGAACTAAAAACCGCAATACATAACTTTGAATGAAATTGAAGCTTTCTACGCCATTACAATGATCCAATATTCTTAAAAGAAATATCAATTCAAGATCTGAATAAGTGTAAATCAACAAGAAAAAGTCAAAGACGAGGCAAGATTTTCAAGATACTTTGTAATTCAAACATATTCCATTGCCTAGAAAGCAGCAGTTAATCAAAAGTTCACAAGAACATTCATAAAACTCATTACAATACAACCACCGCAACGACCTTAAAAACAGTCCTTTTCAACAAATGTAGCTCTCTAACCCATGATGTGTTGACAAATATTTCAAACTTAAATAAGAAAAATCCCAAACATTTAAGTTACCCCTCAAACTGTGACAATGACCAAGCAACTTGAAACTTAAGGCCACCATGGATGAATTAAACCCCATGGAAAACCAATCATCCCTTGAGGACAGAGAAGTTCAAAACTTCATTAAGCAAACAGCAGCTGCACAATACTACACTCACTCTGTTCTTTTCATTTTATTTTATTTTTTTAATTATTTAATTTTGGAAGAAGCCCACCAACAATCCTCACAAGCTTCATAAAAAAAAATGAAGCCACAGGAAAACCTGAAATTAAAGATAGAATATCACAAATATATTCTAAAGGTATATACCAAAGCTGCAAGGTTATCTAGTTCTTTAATGTATATTCATACCGCACATTTTCACAAAGAACTACCACCCATCAGGCTGCAATGTTTTCCTCACAAATGACCACAGCATGATCAGGCGTTTGTCGTATATACCTAGAAGGACGAGAGAGAGAGGAGCAATAACCGGAAAGAAACATATATGTTGTTTAAACAGGAGAAAAATCCAATAGCAGAACTTTAGATAATCAACTGTTGACAATTTAAACTAGTTTTCATATGATTAAATTCCAGGAAAACAAGAAATATTGAAGAAAAATTTCCCTTTCTGACTTGGAATTATAATTGGCCATAATTAATGATGATAATATATAAAGTTTCTCTGTTTGTTCTCAATTTTAATGCAATCAAACAAATTAATTTCAGACAAAAAAACTCTGGGACATGGGACATGGTGATTTTAAAAAAATGGGGCCACGGACATGAACACGGCAAGGACATCGCAATAATCAAAAAACCCCACTCTTAAGTTAACTCTTATCGTTTGTCTTTTTCATGGATGATCTATTAATTATTAAATCTAAGCAAAAAGTAATAAATATTCAACATCCAACATCTAACATCCATCAAAAGGACTACACGAGGGAAAAAAAATTAGTTGGCATGTCTCTTGAGAACAAATTAGTTTAATTAATGTCTCTGTCCAACACCACTACGGCCATTTTCAGTCAAAAGGCAATTGAGATGATTTAAACACAACGCAGGGATCATGATTCCTAGGACCTTTTAAACATGTTTGAGTACTGAATCTGGCTAGAGAACAAAAGTCATTACCTAGAATATCATGGAATATACTGCGGCCCAAAGTGCTCCAGAACAAATACTGAAGATCACAAAGGGCCTGTACGTAGGCCTGCAACACCAAGAAAGCACATTTCAGAATTTTGCAACACCCAAATCTGCAGGAGTTTAATGGGGGCAAATTTCACCTCTATCTGCTTATTCAAATAGGCTTGATCAATCTAAGTACTTCACTGACCAAAATTCATCTCTGTATATCTGCACAAAAGATAAAATTAATTAAAAACAAAAATCAAGATAAAATTACAGCATAAGGCTAGAGACCAACTCAAAAGGAGATGATGGAAGAAAGTGGTCTCTTCTGCACTGAGAAAAGATTGTGAAATTCAACTTGCCTGCGAGTATTTTTTTGCCGTTGACCAAACTCCTCACTCGCAACCTCTGTTTAGAAAAAAGGTTAGTTCAAGCACAAAATAATGAAAAATGACGTAGTCAAGCTAATAAATTATAGCCAGTATAATCAATCAGAAAAATATAAAAGCAGCACTACATTACCGGGTCTCTGTGAAGCCTTCCATTCGTTATTTGGTTTATTTGTATTGTCTTCTTTGCTGAAAAAGAACATAAAAATCATACATTAATCTCCCTTAATTCAAACTGCAAGAATAACATAATCTAATAATTTTTTTTTTTGTAAAAATTTATTAATAGCCAGTATAATCAATCAGAAAAATATAAAAGCAGCACTACATTACCGGGTCTCTGTGAAGCCTTCCATTCGTTATTTGGTTTATTTGTATTGTCTTCTTTGCTGAAAAAGAACATAAAAATCATACATTAATCTCCCTTAATTCAAACTGCAATAATTTTTTTTTTTTGTAAAAATTTATTAACATAAGAAAGTGCTACAAAAATGGGTGCAACCTTGTACACACAAAGTATATAGAAAGCAAAACAAAGACAAACATGTATCCCTCCCTACTATGTAACTACAGAGAATGTACTACTCCCCAAAAAGTCCATCAAAAAAAAAAAACAGGGAAAAATCTCCCAAAACATTGAGACAAACACTGCCTTTCACACCCCAAATTGACCTATTTACAAAAGACCTCCGATTCCTCACTCCACACATACCACATAAGGCAAAGTAGAACAGCCTCCCATGCATTGCGAAAGTATCCCTTGGACAACCCTATTCCAAGAAGCAAACAACTACCAAACCGAACAATGCATCACCCACTCCATATCAAAAACCAAGAATATCATAATTCACACAGCCAAAAACAAAAAAGAAGAATAAGGCTTGAAGTTACCTTTGCCAAAAACAGGACCTTTGGACTTTAACCGCATTGTAATTGGCTCAGGCCTCTGTATAGAAGCAGCAGCTTGGCCCTTCCTCTGGGTCCAAACACGAAGCCCCTAACTTCACCTAGTTTGAGTCCAAGACCCTGACATCAACAAAGAGGGCCCACTAGGCTGCCGAAAACAGTGACTTTTCTGGACTGTATATTAGCCCCCATTCACCTACCAGTCCAATTCACTTTCTTTCTTATCTCCAACTCCTTTATCATTCCAAGAGAATATCCCACTGACTGGTCCATCCTTTCAAGCAAAGTGAAAGCCCCTTCTCTCCCTACCATTCCCGCTCCCAGCAGAAGAATCTTCTTGGGTCCCTTTCATAATTAAATGTGGCTCATTCCTATCCTCTCACCCCATATATTTCCCTCCCCGTACCATGTGTCTACCTCTATTCCATAACGAACTCCTCACCAGCTCTCCCCCACAAGGAACAACTGCCCTCCCCCTAGATGCCCCATGCTATGAAGCACGGACATGGAAAACTCAATGCCTTAGCGGTGTTGGAAACGGGGACATGCCAGGGACACACCATGGACATGTACAGGACAAACCATTTGGCTTGTCCCCCTTTTTTTGTTTTTTGTTTTTTTGGTATAGGACACGGCGGGGGTACAACGCAACACGGCAAGGAAATCAGAAGAGAAGAAAGAGAAAAGAGAGAAGAGAGGAGAGAAGAAAGAGAGAAGAGAGGAGTGAGTGACCTGGTATTTGCCCTAACCAAAAGAGACGACGAACTCAACGAGCGACGACCTTGATCTCCATCTGTCTCTCTCTCACCTTCGATCTCGACGAACAACGACGACCTTCGAAGCTCCGACAAACTTCGATTGACCTTCGACGAATGACACCCTCTTTCTCTCTCGCCTTTGCGAGCTCTGTTTCTCTCTCCTCGATCAAGCTTTGTGACATATATAGACACATATGTATAACCTAGAATATTAGTATACAGATATATATATGTATATATATATTTATGTTTTTATAAATTATACTTACAATATGTAGATATATATGTTTTTATTTATATATTATAAATATAGCCTTTAGAAAATTGTCGTGCCCCCCGTCGTGTCCGTGTACCCATATTTTGGAAATGGTCGTGTCTTGTGTCCGTGTTCGTACCCGTGTCCGTGCTTCATAGGCCCCATGTCTTCCTCTCTTGACACACCAAACTGACTCTCCTATGCACCTTGACCTCGTATTCTCTATGCGCCACTTCCTTCCGCATTTTTGGCTTCCCTCTATCTCTTCCTTCAAACCCAAAATCTGACCTAATACTTAATCAAGGCCCTGATTCAACCCAAATCTAGATCTCATACTACACCACTCCCACCCCGATCAAAGATAGAAGCTGGAAATTCTAAAGAATGCTAAAAATTAAAATAATGCCAAAAGGTAAGTAAGAAAATAAGCAGACACAAACTGCTTGAATTACGGCTTGAAATGTTAAAAAATAATCATCAGAGCCTATGATGCACGGACACGGACACGGGACACGACACGAACACGACACGGACACGGACACGTAAATACGCAAATTTTCAAAAAATAAGGGACACGACACGTTGGGGACACGTTTAATATATATAATTTTATTTATTTATTTTATATCTAAAATTTTAAAAAATATTAATTCTTATAAAATTACAATAATAATAAAATTAATAAATATATTATCTAAATTTTTTAAAATAAAAATTGATTTTTTTTTAAATAAAAATAATTTATTTTATATATTTGAATAAAAACATAGATATAAATAATAAAACAAAAGAAAAAAAAAGAAAAAAGAGAGAGAGAATAAAAAGCAAAGGGTGGTGGAGTGGAGAGAAATGAAATCATACAAGGGAAGAGAAGAAAGAGAAAGAGACAGAACGAGAGACAGAAGATAGAAGACGGAAGACGAAGACAGAGGAAGAGGAAGACGATGCGAAGACGAAGATGAAGACGAAGACGAAGCAGCGAAGACGATGCGAAGACGAAGGCAGAAGACGAAGACGAAGACAAAACAGGTTAGGGCTTGTTCTCTTTGTCCTCGATCTGTCTCTCTCTTCCCTCGATCTATCTCCCTCTCTCTCCCCTCGATCTGTCTCGACTCTGGCTCTGTCCCTTTCTCCTCTCCAACAGTTCTAGGGTTTCTTCGATCCACCTGCGTGTCTGAATCGTGTCCTCCCGTGTCCAACCTCGTGTCCGACTCTGAAAAATTCTGAAAAAAAAGGGGCACGTAGGGGAGAGTGTCGGACACGTGTCAACAGCGTGTCGTACGCGTGTCCGTGTCCGACACGTGTCAGACACTCATACGCCAGCCTCAGGGACCTGTCCGTGCTTCATAGATCTGAGGCATTTTGGATAACAAAGGCCCTCCAGACTGGTTGTGGGTAAGGGATTCGAACCACCGAAATTGTGATCTGTAGCCTCATGCTCTAGTCGTCTGCCCTATAAGCCCCATTTATTTAATTTTTTGATTGGAAACATACCCCAATTGTCTTCACTGGATTTGTTCCCAGGAGTACCCTAAAAAAAAAAGGAAGTTCTCGTCTCCCTAACCATTTCATGTAAATAAATTGTGAAAGCATGTCTAGTGTTTATTTCTATAAGAACGGAGCGCTCTTAGGTGTGAAGACAAGATTGCTGCTCATAAAGGGGTACCCTGAATGGACAATTCTTGCTGATAAGTTTCAGACAACTGGAAAGTGAAAACAAGGAGATTCTTTCTTCTTGGGATGACAAATAAAGGAATGGCATTCACCAGAAAAATTACAATACAATTGAAAAGGGGGGAAAATAACTTTACAGAGTGACTTGAAGAAACCATCTTAATAATTGATCCGAAGAAAAAATGAAACTTTGTTCATCACATATTCAAGGGTGATGCAGGAAATGCAAGACAAACAAATAAACATATAAGACTAGTAACATATCAGAATAATAACATAAGACTAGTAACCAATGCAACTAACCTAGAAGCTTCTGATGAAGATGTCTTCCCTGATGGACGGGAGTGATAAGCACCATCGACGGCAATATAAGGTGAACAATATGTCGTCCCCAAAGCTCCTGCAGCACCAGCCAAAACTGGTAGCCTAGACATAAGAAACAAACCACCATCACTAACCTGTTATTTTGTTCCTAGTTTCTTTTTGACGAGTAAATGTATGCCTCTCATGTACAACTTGCAGAACACCATCCCGGGGTCTCACATGACCCTACAACAGTGTAAACAAAATAACAAAAACAAAACAAAAAAAAAGAGTAAAAAAAGAAGATACAAAAAATAAAACAAACCACCCCCTATTTATCTACTGGAATGTACAAATCCCCCCAATCTACAAAATAAAGAAAAGAAAAGGAAAGACCACTGTCACCGCTTACAAATAAAAGAATATCAAAACTGTTAATTTTCATAGTAGTTGTAGTACTAGTAGCAGTAGTAGTAATAAGGTACAATTTTTCTGAAGACGAATAACATATGAGAAAGAATGTGATTAAAAATAAATAAAATAAAAAGTTGAGAATAATGATTCAAAGCAAAAAAATAAAATAAAATAAAATCATGCAACTATTCTCTTCCTCTAGCAATAAATCAACCAGAACATTTATGGGATAATTTGAAAAGATCTATTATTAACAGGTCACTCATAATTGGGAAAAAAAAATCATATCTTCCCACTCCATAGGATGTATCATTCAGCAAACTGCCAATTAATCAGCTACCCAAAATGGATGCCATACAAGACACTAGGTAACCAAGGTCTATGAATTACAAGCAGAAAAAGATGCAACAATACGAATAAAATTACATGAGTAAAGGAAAAGCTACAATACCATGTCATCTCCGAATTTCCCAACCCAAGTTGGGGTTGAGCAACATAACCAGGGAAGGCCATACCAACAGCAGGAACTCCCATGCCACCAGAATGCTGGCCACTAAACGGCATTACTGCATGTCAAACCATTACAAAATTAGAACTTTAATGTGGCTGAGAACATTAAGAAAAGGTTAACGAACAAGAAGCAGTAATCATGATAGTTTCAAAATCCAAACGACCAAAAATGAACTTCGTAGTGAACTGATTATCAACCACAAAAAAGTACACAATAAAAGCCAACAAGCTTAGGTCTATCCAAATTAGTACATCCCAACAATAGCAGTTCAATAGGATTTTCTTATCTCTGACTGGTAAAAACATGATTGTAAAGCTTCACCTGGCAAGAAGGCTGGAGTTCCAGGAAAGTTCTGATCACCGTGACCACTGCCCATATTCCCAGAGGCTCCCATAACCTGAGTGCCACCATACAGAAAAGAGCCCCTTCCGCTACCTTGAACACTGCCTTTTCCTTTTCCAATCGATGCATTCTTTGATTTACTTGATTCTGGAGGAGATTCCAATTCTCCAGGTTCAAAATAATTTATTGACAAAGCTGCTTTTGGTGGAGATGTAGTTTGAGATCCACTACCAGGAGACTGAACAGAAGCTTGAAAAGAAGGTTGAACTCGGCTTTGAACAGGATTTCGCTGCACAGTGTGGAGTTGGTTTGGTGGAGAAGCTCTAGTGACTTGGCTATGAGGTGCTCCTGGTTGACAAGTCATCTGCCCAGAGGGCACTAGATTTCTTCCCTGAGCCCTTGGTCGAAGAGGTTGGGTATTATTGACTAAAGAAGGTCTGGAAAGTGGCAACTGCAAGCTGGTTGAAGGCTTTCCAGCAACTGGAGAAACGGAATCATTGATATAAAGCTTTTCCATGCCAATGGAATCAACTACATCCTTTCCTCGCATCATTGTATTGGACTGAGACACAGAAAAATTTTCATCCATAACAGCAGACCGAAGGTTCCTGTTGGTAGTTCCAGCTTGTACATCCTTGTTCTGTGTCAAAGTGGTTTCTTTATTGGACGAGAGAGAAGGATAGAATGGAGGGGAAGCATAATTCAAGCTTGATGCAAACACTTGTTTTCTAGCAGGAACTGGATTGGATTCCGAATTTGATGTGGCCATAGGTGCTCTCCCAGAAGTAACATGCAGAGTTTTCTCAATTGACTTCCCAGATCTACTAAATACAGCAAAATGCAGCATGTTATTCAAAACATTATTCAAAGAATCTTGATGAACCCATAGAAATAGAATAAACAAGATAAAATTCGAACTTTATACTTACTTTCTGAGTTGTGTTTGAGGTGCTTCACTGTTGTTTCTAGAAGGTTCATACCTTCTAGGGCCTCTTCCTCTAAAACCCTTGGGTGCATGGTTCTGAGTGTTATTGTCATATGCTTTAGACTTGTTTACTCTAGGAAATCCTCGATCTGCACCTCGATTTTTTCCACGAGGTCGATAATGACCTCTAGAGTTCCTTGTACCCTGGAAAATATATAATGAAAAAAATTAGAGGGCAGATTTTTATAGGAAAATGTCACTTATAATATGAGCCACATTCATCAACCAGATAGCTCAATGAAACCCTCACCTTTTCATAGCGCCTTTCTTGGAGAGTCATCTCCTCAAACTTGTCATGCCCCCATTTCCTATCGTCTTTTGACTCCCACAACTTCCTTTCACCAAGTGTCCGCCTAAACAAATTCAAATAACCAACACAAAAATAAAAGCAGGTTAATATTAAAAAATCAAATCAACACTGAAATATTACCAAAACAAAAAAGAAGAATCATGAAAAAAGAAAAATTTACAAACAAGTGTACAGGAGCATGATGTTAATGGCAATAAATAACAAAAAAAGCAGAACGCAGGAGTTCCATAGACAGTTGCATCTGGAAGCATATGCAAAATATAAAATTGTACAACTCTTTTCCAGTCCTTTAATGTGTCTAACAAGTTCTTCACAAAAACATGCCCATGATTTGACTCATTGCTGATTTTCCTCTTGGGATCTCATATTGTTTTTGTGATATGGTAAAGGTAAAGTTATAGTCTTCTAATATGGGCAAGTGAGTAAAAGAGTAATAGTAAAAAATCTTCATAAACCTACATCTTAAGATATTAGACTATGTATCCACAAGTTGGACAACGGAAGCGTCATGGATATATATATTGCATATTATATAATATTCTTAAATAAGATGTAAATTTATTGAAAATATGAGTTCTATCTCTCGTCCATGTGAGAGGTTAGAAATGTTTCTTTACTAGCAAACGTAAGTTTATTCTTCTTTCTTCAAACATCATAAAATAATAGACCCAAATGTCAATTTCGGGTACAAAGGGACAGATATCCCACAACCTTACCTTACACTTTAGGATAAAATAGAAGAGTCCATGGAACACATATCTTAATTTATAATTTATTTATACAAAATTAGCTCTCACTCATTTATTTTATCTGACTTCAAATTCCAATTATAATGCAAATGTGTAATTTTATATAAAAAAATTCAAATTGTCAAAGGTGCAACATAAAATAGCACTATGCTAATTTGACATAGAAAACATCAGAATGTTATTTTAGTACAACATTTACTACATTGCTAGAGTGAATTTTTTTATTGCAATGTATTGGGGTACACCTAAATACTAACCAGCTAGAGATGCTCTAAATAATAAAATTCTAGGGATGATTACGAGCCGAACCTATGGACCAGATTTATTTACCAACAAGTCTTGCTCTAATTTTCAATGATAAATTTACCATTATAAAAAAATCTTTAAAAGTACAATTTAACTACTTGCAATTCTCACATCATATTTCAATACACAAACTAACACAAATAAACTAAAAATAAATCAAAAATCACAAACAAAAGCCAAATGTCCCAATCATTTATCATTTTGATCAATTTCCCAATATCATTACCAGTACCAAATGATCACTCTACAAACACAAAACATACATCTAAAGAGTCAAACAAAATTCATTATCAAAATGAGAGGCAAATACGTAAAATATATATATATATTTAGGACTTATGAGTAAATAAGCTCAGTCCGTAGGACCAGTTGGTAAACACATTTGCCTATCAATTTTGTTTGTTTATTTATTTACATTTTGGATAAGTAGAGATCATATTTATATTAAAACAAAAAAAAACAAAAAACAAAAAAAAAACAAAAGAAGAAGAAGAAGAAGAAGAAGAAGAAGAAGAAGAAGAAGAAAGAAAAGGGCATCAAGGGATAAATAAAACAAAATTCTAGATTATCTATACATAAAAAAAAAACTCCCAAAATACACTACAAATAATCTACGAGTTCCAAATAATGTATGTTGGGCCATGATGTTAAGTACATGGACTCTGAAGTTTCTTCTCGACGGATTGGGCCAATGATTGTTGTGCACTTGTGGGCTCCTTGATTTCCTTACATCCCCAAGGTGTTATGTCTTGCGTTATTTAAAAATTAGCGTGTCTGCATGTCTGTATTGTGTCACATGGCCACGTCCATGCTTCTTAGGTCATAAGACCCTTATGAGCCAAAGTCAACACAAAAGCCTCAACTTTGAGAGGCACAATCACTCCCTAGCTTAGTTGCAGGAATCGTCCTAACAGGTGACGAATCTTCCTAAGAAACGCGATTCCGCGTTTCTTAAAAAGAAACGTGTTGGAATTGCATTTCCGTAGAGAGAGAAACGCGATCCTAGCCAAGATGGGATCGTTGGTGAAGAAGAACAAAAACCCTAGCTTGTTGGTGTCAGATACGGCGAGGAGAGAGAGACAAAGGAGAGAGTGTGTGAAGGAAGAGAGTGAGAAGACAAACCTTCGTCGAACCTCCAGTCGTCTTCGCCCTCGCGATCTGCTCGCGATCGCCTTCGATCGTCATCGCCATGGCCATCGCGATCGTGCTCACCTCCTGCTTCTTCTTCTTCTTCTTCTTCTTCTTCTCTCTCTCTCTCTCTTTCTTTCTTGTCAATCTGCGTCGTCTTCCCCCTCCCGTTTCTAACATATAATAAATATAATAAATAATATAATTTGTTATATAATGATAATAATATAATAATATAATAAATCTAATTAAATCAAATATAATAAAAAAAATCTAATAAGATTTATAAAATAAATCATTATTTTACTATTTTTTATTATTTTACTATTTTTTAACATATTTTATTATTTTACTGTTTTTTATTTATAATATATATCAATTAAAAATTAAAAATATATATAAATAAATTAAAAATATTATCTATAAAAATAATATCTAAGATAAAAATAATAAATATATTTAAAAATAATTATTTAACTCACCTTTATATAATAAATATATTTTAGAAATAACTATTAAAAATATATATATATATATATATATTATCGCTTCCTGAGGCGCTCCCAACCTAAGAAACTTCTATCAGCTCACGCTTCCCCGCTCCCGCTCCCGCTCCCGCTCCCGCTTCATACAACTGAGCTCCCTAGTATGAACGAGAAAAGGAGGAGCATTATGATTATCAATGATTGTGTTGAAAAAATGACTTGCTTGAGAAAATCCCCGAAGAATGAAGTGACAAAACCCATTTATCAATGACATTGAGCCTCAAAAAGAAACATTCAAGAATGATCAACAAGGATGCCAACTCAATTGAATCATGAACATCAACATTTTTTAAAACAAAAAATGAAATTCCACAATATCGGTGTCGATTGGGAAAGTGCCATAGATGCAATGAAAATATTGTAAGAGAAAATGAAACCATTCCACGATAGATTTTCATGGAGATGAACCGTTTACCATGTAAGCCACTATAAAATCCCTCCCATTAGCATGAACCCCATATTTACTCTTAATAATGGAATGCCACAAAGCGTTACACTCATTGGGAAATCTTCACAACCACTTCCCAAGCAAAGTAATATTCCTTTCCACAATATTACCAATGGCAAAAACTCCCCTTTCAGGAAGTCAGAGTGTTTTCCAATTAACCAACTAAGCCCTTCTCCCTCATATTTTCCTTCGAAGAAGAAATTCCTCATTATTTTTTCAATTTTATTTGCAACCCCAATTGAAATCTTAAATAATGGTAAATAATAGATTGGAATAATGCTCAAAACTCACTACACGTGGGTATACCTATCTCCTCTAGAAAACAATGCTCTCTCCAATCTATGGGAAATTTTCTCTAACACTAATCGGCATCTATGGAACTTTCCCAATCGGCATCAATATCATGGAACTTCAATTTTTTTCAGCAACCTTAATGATTGAATCAATTGAGTTGGCCTACTTGTTGAGCATTCTTGAACTCCTCCCAAACATGAAACACTATAAAAGGCAACCAAGGTACTCCATAAAAACTCCAACATTCCAATCATTCAACTGTTCATGGAAAGTAATATCCTAAAAATCATTAATAAATCTTTTTGCACAATCACTAAATGCCACTCCTTCATTCCTTCATTGACAGCAATATACGCAAAGGCAAAAGAAGATACTTCAAGCTTCTCTCCACACCAAATGACTCCATAATTCAACACTACCCCTAATCCTAAAATGAAAACAAATGTAATGCATGAAGTCATGTCATCCCCCACGATGCCCTACCAAAGCCCCATACTATGTGACATAGAGACTCCAGTCTCTGGAAATTTAGCGTTAATTCCTTAGTTTCATCTACTGGAACTATATAATTAGCAAACAATATACACCATGGGGATGTCATATTGAATGTGTTTAGTTAATTCAATGACCTAGGAAAATAGGTAAGGACTTAAAGCTAACCCTTGATGCAACCCTACAATGATTGGAACCTCACTAGTTTCTCCTAGAAATGATCTAATTGTAATCACAACTCCATTATACATGACTTTTATCGCATCACTATACCATTTGGTAACATCTTTTTCCTACAACACCCACGATATTATATCTCTAAACACCATATCATAAGCTTTTTCTAGATGTATAAAATTATATGTAGATCCCTCATTTTCTGTATGTATATTTCTATTAATTTTCTCAGTAAATAAATTGATTTTGTAGTTAATCTACTAGGCATAAATCCAAACTGATTTTTTGATACATCATTCCCTTCCGATGGTGAATGATGATTCCATTTATAATGTATTTTTCATAATTTATTTTAATCAACCAAACATGAGAATGAATATTTTGATGGAATCATTATTCGATTCCACTCCATTCTAATGAACCAAACACTACATTAAGGTTAAGCTTATTTCTTATTTATAAACTTTATCTTTTCTGCAGGACTGCCAACTAACAGTGTCCATATGCATACCAGTGAGAACTATCCACTAATACACCCTTCATTGAATCTGTATGCATAACAGTGAGAAATATGGACTAAAATACACTCTTCAATAAAACTAAGAACTTGTTTGGGGTGTGATATATAAGCACACTTTTTATCTTTTTATCTTTTTTTTTTTTTATCACATCACCTCCCCACTTTTCTGCACATTTTTTCGTAAAAAGTCAAAAAATACACTTACTTAGATTAACAATATGGTGCTAAAAATTTGATAAGAAAAAAAAAAACCCTACCAAATTTACATTTCATAGTCTTCTACATGTAAGTTCCACAAATACGTATGACAAGTTGTAAACAACACAAGAAATATACAAGTCAAGAGTTAAGCAAGGAAACTATAACCATGAATAATTATGAAATGAACATAAAGACCCAACACCATAATACTCTGAAAATATATTTATACTCATTATCAACATAAACGCATACATTGCAATTAAATTAATGCTACAAACGATCAAGATTCAGAACTCAATGGCAATATACCTGTGTCGACCACCACCGGCATTGTCTCGAAACCTATCATCATGCATATAGAAAGCACCAGCTGTTGGCACTGCAAATGGCTCATTCTCTTTCTTCTCCTCTTCAACCTGATTCACACCCTGAAGAAGCTCCATTGACTCCCCAACCGATCTCGGTGCATCCCCATCCAATTCCTTCTCATCCTCGCTGCCAATTTCGACACTGTCTTTGCCTCCTCTCACCTCATGCTCTGCCTCTTCCACCACATCAGCCTCCACCTCCACCTCCTCCAACTCTTCTTCCTCTATCTCCGATTCTTCGTCATCATACTCCGCCGCTGCACCCTGACCATCCGATTCCCCATCGGACCCAATTGCAGCCCTAGAATCAATCCTCCTCAGCGGCCTCTCTCTCTCCTCCTCATCTTCATCATCGCTAGCCTCTCTCCTTCGCATCCTCAGCAACCGCTTCGCCTCCTCTGGATCACTTTCATACTCAACCTCTTCTTCCCCAGCAGCAGCCATTTCTACACCTCCGCACAACAAAAATCCAAACTTTTCCCCCAAAATTCACAGACAAACCATGCAAAAAAATTCAAAATTTCTCAGCAAACTCACACCAATTCACAAAAAAACATTAAAAAAATAAAATGAGAGCCTAGGTTGAAGAAGGAATCGAATTCGATTCTGTAGGGGTTTTAGGGTTACGATCCATGTATGGTTAGGTTAGGGTGTGGAAACCCTAGATTAAGCTGTGGAATTAGAAAAGATGGTTTAGAACTTTACACTTTTAAGGTGTGTTGTCAACAATCTGATGTATATATCTATCTATCTATATTATTATAAAGTGAACACCTTTTATGGTGTCTTGAAGCTTTACTCTCCTCATGCCATGTGGCAGTATTTTTTATTTTTTATCCCCCAAAATTCACAGACAAACCATGCAAAAAAATTCAAAATTTCTCAGCAAACTCACACCAATTCACAAAAAAACATTAAAAAAATAAAATGAGAGCCTAGGTTGAAGAAGGAATCGAATTCGATTCTGCAGGGGTTTTAGGGTTACGATCCATGTATGGTTAGGTTAGGGTGTGGAAACCCTAGAGCTGTGGAATTAGAAAAGATGGTTTAGAACTTTACACTTTTTAGGTGTGTTGTCAACAATCCGATGTGTATATATATAGATATATAAGAGAGAGAGAGAGAGAGAGAGAGAGAGAGACCGCGAAGACTTGTGACAAATGGGTATGCGGAATTGTACTGGATTGGATTGGTCTTGGATTTCATTTCTTCATATTTTTACGTACTCAAGTGTTATTTGAAAATAGGTTATTTGAGTATGTGGGTTAATTTTTTTAGTTTTTTTTTACTTTTTTTTAGTTTTGGGTTAAAAATTTTTGTTTAGGATAGTTTTTCTTGGTTTTTTTTTATTTTTGTGAGAAAAAAATAAAATAATTATGATCTAGATACGACATTTTATTCTATTTGATTAAAATAGCCTATTTTATCTTATATGACTATTTTAACCCAAATTGACATCCCAAATGGGGCTTTAATAACTTTTTATTTTTTATCAAAGATGTATAATATGATAGAGATAATGTTATCTAAATAGAATAAAAAGATAATAAGTATACTGTTTTAGGTTCTTACCAAACAACTCCTCAAATTGTAAGTTTCAATTAAAATTCACATAAATAATTTCAACAGCCTATTTCTTAATTGAATAATAAATCTTTTTTATTATTATTTTATAAAATGAGTGGTAAATATTATTGTAAAATTAAATCATTTGTTCATTTATTTATAATTGTCTGATAAAGTTTAATTTTTGCATGGATAACCTTTAGTGACAAGGTAGACGGTTTGAATGAGGTTGAGACCCACAAAAAAAATATACAGAGATATGGCAAAATGACATATAAAGAGGAGTTTATCCCTTTTTTGCACTGAAAGAGCATCTCTAATCTTAGATTTGTTTTAAAAAAATTAGCCAAAATCCCTCTACAGAACCTTTATTTGGTGAAGATGACAACTCAATTTATTTTGTTTCTAAACCCGTTAAGGAGAAGACACATAATTGAGTAAAGACAAAGTAGAATATTCTTTTTTTTTGGGATGATATTACCAGAGTAATATGTTATTTTGAATAAAAGTAACATGTTACTGTGAGACAGAGTAATATGTTACTGTTTACATCAATTTCGACGGTAATAATTTTACTATTATTTTCTTTAAAAGAATTTCATAGTCAATATGAATTTTATTTGATAGATATTAATGAGAGAGTTTTAAAAATATTAATTTTATTAAAAACTGACATCTAAATCAAAAGTTATATTATTTTAAAGTTTAATATTTTGATAATGGTGATATGTGTTGAACTTTTCAAGAAAATTTTTTTATACTTGTCCTTAATGCGTTAAAGTTTTATTATGGGGGGATTCCCGTATTTTTTTTTATCAAATTTATATTTAAATGTAATAAAAAAATTATCTTTAATAATTTCATTAAATATTTATCAAATTAAGGGGGAAAATTTTTCCAAATTAAAAATTCATCAAATTTGAATTTAATAAAAAAATTTAAAAATAAAACATTGAAGATGATTTTTTTTTCCTATCAAATTTGATAAAAAATGAAATTTGGGATAAGAGAAAAAAAAAATTTATAAAATTGATGAAAAGGTTAAAACAATTCATATCAAATCAAGTTTTTTACTTAAATTTAAAATTAAATTAGATAAAAAAAATAATAAATAATAAATAATAAAAAGGTAGAGATGCTCTAAGCCTAACGATGAGAGTTTTAGCTATTTTCCTACCTCAAAACTTTTACCCAAGAATCTACTTCTTCATTTAAAAAGACAAAAATAAATAAATAAACATAATTTTCTAGTTATAAAGGAAAATAATATAGTTTTAACTGTATAGTCTTTCAAAGTTGATATCATGCAACAGGCACAAAATCAACGGTTGAACTATCATTCACAAGGTTGTAAAGATGACGCAGACTTCTAAGCTTTCGTATGACATAAATTAAAATAAATTTTTTTGACCAAAACAATCATAAAATGACAAAATAAATGTTTTAATTCAATAAAATAAAATGTCACATCTAAACATAATTATTTTATTTTTTCTCTTATAAAAGTTAAAAAAGCCAATCCATATTGGCTTTTTTAGCTTTCGAAGGTTAATATTGTAATTTTAAGCATGTCAGTAAGGATCAATCAGTCCTTACAGAAGATTAATTGCCAACCAATTTCAGACGATTGCGTTTTAGTTCTCTCAACCTCAATAAAGAGGAGTTTTACTGGTGGCTTGTTTAGAAGAATTTAGTAAATAACAATTAAGTGAAGAATAATTTCAGAATTTCATTAAATAAAATGAAAAACTTACAATGATCTGATCCAGCCTCGTAGAGATTTACAGCAACAAGCTATTTGAAACTACTTTTATGAATGAAGTGCAGTACAGGAATTTGAAATACAGAAATGTAAGGAATTGTAAAAATTGAAAGGGAAAACAAAGTAAATAAAACTGGTTTTTTGATCTGAGTCTGGATCCTTCACTCTGAGGCCTTCTCTGCTATTTATACTTCTCAATGATAACCGTTGAAGTGGGTTTCTAACCGTCGAAATGTCCTCCCATGATTGCTGAACACGCTCTCTCATAGTCAGTCCCACTATGCCACCTTTGTAGTTAGGCTTCCCTCTTGATCTTGATTTTGAATTTGAACTTTGTGAGTTACCGTTAGGCCACATCACCTTATATCCCTCGATCATTCCAGTGCTACGCAGACCCATTATTATCAATACGGGCTGACACGTGTTTGACTATGGTTAGCAACTTGTATTAACTCTCCAAATTGCCTTCTTCATGCCACATGTTGAATTGTGATTGGCTTTTACAAATTATACGGCCAACATTACCCCCCGCACTAATATACCCAATACTTGGTGATATTAGTGGATCAACGCACTTTACTCACGTCCTAGGATGTGCATGGGCTTTGTATCTTCTTAGAATTGCAACCGACGCCCATCATTGCAATGTTTGTACTGCATTAAATTCTCTTCTACACCTTGAACATTTCCCACTATCTGAGCATTCAAACAGACTGATACAATCCTCGTAGCCAAGCAAACCTTTTCTTACATTGATCGAGCATATAAGAAGTCTATGGAAGATGATTATAGGCCTCGAAAGAATCTCAATGCATTTATTAATTACACCTATTCACCTTCACTTATGCAAGTCATGGAAGCTTTTGCAACGTACCAACCTCTAGACCCGACGTTTGCCAATTACGAACCCTTAGATCAAGCATTTGCAAAAATGGACCTTGGAAACTCTTCGTCTGCCCTATCATCTTCTACATGGGACACAGCTGCTTCTTCCTCTACCCCACCAACCTCTGCATGGGACACAGCTGCTCCTTCTTCCTCCTGGTCTACTGGTTGGAGAATCTGGCCAGAACTTGATGAATCTAAGCTAAGAGAGCGAATTCACCATCGATTCATCGAATTCGCTAATCCTCTGTCTATCCCTTCTTTTGCTCAGAGCTCGATGGTTTACTCCTATGTATCCATCGATCGTTGACGCAGTTTGGAGAACAACTTACTTGTAGTGTGGTACACATCTTTCATGCCTACGAAAATAGTGTGAGCAACTCCTCGTTCGGAGGAAGCACAAGGATACAACCCGTCATTCCTAGCCAAGAAGGCAAAATTTTGCTCTTCTGACTGGCTTGAATGTGTGAATAACCTCCAATTCCCTTGTTCCTTTGGGATGGATCCTCCTACGTCTCATCTTCCTCAAAACCCTCACTGGATGGAAGAACTAAAACTTACTCTCCTTGAGAATCAGTTTCTCCCTTCCTACCAACCTCCAGATCTTCCCACTATATTTGAGCGATATCAAGCTCAACTTTTTCTTGCAGTTTTTTCTCACTTGCCCTTCAATGTTCCTGGAGGTGATATTTCTCTTAAGAACTTTTGATGGGCTTGTGACATTATGACTCATGGTCATGTCCTCAACCCCATTGCTCAAGCAGAACTTCAGATATTTTTGGATCAACTCCCACCTCTTCTCTATTGGTATCAAACTTCTTTGGCTACCACTCAATCTTTGGACAAAATCTCGCCCCATCGAATTCAAACCCAGTATGAAGTAGAGAATCTTATTGACGAATATAATGACTTCAAGAATAAAGATTCTGCATACTGGGATGATCTATATATGGATGAGATGGAACAAGGATTAAAGGAAATGGAGTTTGAAATGAAAGTTGAACAACTTTTCCATCAAATAAGAACATATCAGCTACAGCAACCCAGCTTGGATAGGATAGAGAACAGAATAAAAAAGGAACATAAATTCATTGACCACTATTGGAGCAAATTTCATGACCTTGTTATTCTTTCTATTCTTTATTTTTATGAAATTGAATTTGTAGCCAAGAAGGCTTTCTAATGTAATTATTTTCATATCAATAAAGCTAGATTTTTCTTTCTCTATTCGGCATGGTCTGGTTTTATATTCCAATTGCATACTTGTAACCATTCTATTCGCCCAAAGCAAACAAAATCAGAGTTTCGAATTTACTAATTTTGTCCTTTGAAACCTAAATAGAACATTTCTAATGGAATACTGGAAACCTAATTTGAATTTCTCCAACATACAGAGTATAATTGACAATTTTTGCTTTAGGTCTTCTCATTCTAATCATATGGTTAACACAATCAACAGCTTTGAATTAATTATCTTTGTTTTGAAAAAATAGTCTACGTGTTTCGAAGTATGGAAACTTTT